TTTAAAGCTGCAGTGCAAAACCTTGACACAGGGACATTGTTTTTATCAGACTATATTTAATATCTAGTATTACATTGAAAAATGTGTTTAAAATTATGTTAAGGAAAATATAGCCTTACCATCCAACAGTTGTGTGGGTAAAACATATTAGATTTCCACATTAAAACAACGAGACATACGTTATATATTTTTTTAATAATATTAATTATCATCTGTAATGGTGGCTAAAACTTTAGTTTGAACGTCATTGTGGTTTGCCCATACTGTAGTTATTATAAATTAACTTGTATATAGGGTTCAGATACATTTTTACCATACATTTATTTGTTGTTTAGCGTATTCACTATATATTTTAAGTAAATGAATATATCAGGGGATCATTAAAATCAGAAGGCTTCATCCTACGGGGACCATGAGTTTCTGTATCAAATTATCATCAATCATGCTGTTGACATATTTCAGTCTTGACCAACCTTAACCTTAAAGCAGCCAGTTTAGCAACAAAAAAAATAGACAGGCTAAGTATGTGACCACGTCTGTGTCACTAATACGTTTTTATTATTCATGCTTGTGAATTCATAAATTAGTCATTAAAATGGTAATGAGTTAAGATTTACATATTTGTTTACTCTTTGCCACCTCTCACTTCACTCTGCTTGGAGACACTGAGACAAATAAAGAATTTGGATCCATCTTGGATGGTAAAATTAATTGAAAATAAAACTATACATATCCAAATATGTGGCACCTTCAGAGCCAATCTGAGTATGTATGTGGTAACCGTTTTATTTTGTAATGTAGACTTTGGTTTTACATATCTAGCCACACATTAATTTACAATCGTTTGAGTTGTCTTTTCAGACCTTGTATTAATTGTAAGTTAGTTGTTTTTACTGCCACAGATAACATTACATATATTTACATAATAAATTCCCAACTTTTCCCCAAAAAATGTATATCACCACTCCGGAAATGTGGGGCAGATAAGTTGTTAAGAAAGTACTCCTGGAAGAACAGGAAATACTTGGAATGAATGCCTTTTCGTCAATCACACATGTAGTTCAACTCAATTGAACTTAGACCCTCACATCGTACAAGGAAAAACTTCCAGAGAAAAACCCACAGTTTAAAGGGGGAAATGGGAGAAACCTCAGGGAGAGCAACAGAGGAGGGATCCCTCTCCCAGGACGGACAGATGTGCAATAGATGCTGTGTGTAAATCGAAGATAATACATTTTACAGCGTAGGTAGACCAAATGTTTGGAAATGCATGTGTCTGTAATAAGAAGATGAATCCACGAGGATGTCAACAATCCTGTGGGAGCCATCAGGGAAGTAGTATGATGAGAGTCAGGCAGGACCGCAGAGACAGGTTCAGCCACGACTCGAAGTCCAGCACTCAAATCCAGAACTCAGGATAGAGGGTCCAGGGACACAGGATCCAGGACTCAGGACCGCAGCAACAGGATCAGCCACGACTCAGGATCCCGGCGTAGATAGACACCAAAAAGAAATTTGGGGGAAGCTGGGTTATTCGGAACATGAGAGTACACAGGTACAGACAGACAAAAGGAAGAAGTAAGGTGTCCTCCGACAGTCTAAGCCTACAGCAGCTAAACTAACGTATCTACGTACATGGACTCCCTTAGGATAGGTTGAGGGAAAGGGGTAGCAAGTAAGAAGTAAGGAACAGAGGTGGAGAGGCACAACGTGTACATGTACTCCCTTAGGATAGGTTGAGGGAATCAGTAGTTAAACATTCAAAACAGGTTTAACAATACAGTAGTTATATTCTTTCTAAAGGATGGGTGTGATACATAAGCTCTAACAACTGTGGACCAGAAAGTGACAATTTGCCCACCCCATCTGAGTTACAACAAGTAACCCGGGCCACTTGGTAACAACGTCAGCAAAAAGGTTTATCCTCAGGAACTGCTGTGCCAGCATTTGTCCTGCTGTATTAACTATGAGTCTGACACGTACGTAGGAAGTCAGAGGAATGTACTTTGTGTTGTTTATGTTCTGCTAATATGTACAGCTTTTGACACACACACACACACACACACACACACACACACACACACACACACACACACACACACACACACACACATCACAATAAATGTGATTGTTACATAATTGTACAGTTCTGCCCTTTTGCTCCACATCATGATTTTACCACTGTATGTAATGATCATGAAGTGCCTCTGATTTACATATTTTCTGTGCTGCTGCAGGGGTGAGAATTATTAGAGTTAATAACTAAAATCAAAATGTTTTAATATCGTAATTCATATTTAGATTATAGTTTACATTGTACATCCGTCAAAGCAACAACAAAATGTATAAAGAAAATGTTTCATTCAACCTTTTTTATTTGAATGGAAAATGAAAGTTAAATGTTTGAAAGTAAATAAAAGTGAGACAATCTAGCAGAAATAGAGCAGTTTAAACAATCATAATCATCAATAATATTGTAGTGGTGATATACAGTATATATATAATCATGCAAGTAGCACCCATTCTCTCCTTGCTCTCCTTTCTCACTTTATTGATTAACATCTGTTTATTTAAAATCGAAATGTTTAATTATAAACAAATGTACAACCCAGCAAGTTCATATTTCTCTCAAAGAGGATACAGTTCAATTGTTCAAAGCACCTGAAAAGATCAAAACAAAATGCTGTTTGTTTTGTCCAGAGGGCTAGTGGGTTGTGTTATGGGAATATCAATAATCTGGGCCCTCTGGTTGTACTATTATTTATAGTGCTGTACATTATTGTTGCTGGTGCACCTGTATTAATGTTCCACATCAATCTCCGCACAACATCCAAGCAGAACAGAGTGGGGGGGCTCTATGCTGGATGACTGAGTTTGATTGGGCTGTAGCAGAAATATGAATCATAGGACGGACAGGCTTGCAGGACACAGTGTTTAGAGCTATAACTGGGATGTTGCACTCAAACAGGTTTGTGTTGCATCTCATGTATTTTTAATAAATAGGCTCTACATGAGAAATTAAATCTCAAACTATAATTCCACTTTTAATCACAATTCATCTCAGTTTTAAAGAATGGCTGTAATGTCATGACCACATGCATCTTTTAGATCAACCTACAGTGTTATGATATACTGTAGGAAGATGAATCCTTTCTATGGGTTTCATCTCTGGTTCCAAAACCGTTTGTATGGGCTGTTGCCCCCTGTCAAGGTAATTGAGGCAGACAGAATGTAATCCAAGCATCATGACTAATATTTAGACTTAATGGCTTTCAGAGAATCTTCATCCGCCGCCACCTGCACCCTCAACTTCCTGACTGAATGATGGTTGCACAGAGCAGAGGGAAGTATTGGAATAAGAACATTTGAAAACATAGGAATCTACAATATTCAGGAAGCAAATAGAGAAGGAAACTATATCAGTTGAATTCACATGACCGTTTAAATGCAAATCCCTGCTGTGATAAATGATATATATTCACCCATGTGTTGCTAAGCAACAGAGCTGTGGGCTTTTTGGGTGGTTGGTCTCCGCCGTTTGACCGCATCTGTCTGGACAGCTTTGAACACAAGGGTCTTTGACGAGGGTCAGGTTAGAGGAAAGGTGGGCTGGAGACAGGATTACATGAATATCCTTAATTCCTTTAATGATTAACCATCATTTATTAAAGAAGACGGCAGGGAAAACGTCTTAGATTTAGTCAAGCAGGTATCCTGAGGTTAAAGAGGGGTTGGATGGTGAGCGGCATACCGAAGATGAAACAACAGGAGCAATATAGACTGAGTGAAATGGCCTGCATCAGGTTTAAAGATAGATACTAAATACTAAATTGAAACAGACAGTTAAAACCAATGTTTGGATTGAAGGACAGGAACTGAGACTAAGGCCCAATCCCAAACCACCCCCTACACAGTCCCCCTCCGTTTGCGCATTCACGTGGAGGGTCCGTCACATTGAGGGCTGTTCCAAAGCAATCAGGGGGAGGGGTAGTGGGTTATAAAAGCCTCCGACAGCGAGTTTGCATGGACGCAAGCTCGATAGTCTCACTCCACAGGTGTGCAACAGTTTTTCGGGCATGGAGTGCCCAACGTCATACAAATGTGAGTTCCATGTGGTGATTTTTTTAAACGATAATTAATACGTTGCCTTAACTAAAACATACCTTTGTGAAACATATATTTTGAACTCTACACGTGTTAATTTGATTTGGCAAGATTACATTAGATTTTTATTTTGAAGATGTACAAATATAAATTGGAATCAAACTAACAACACGTGTCAATTCATCTCACATCCATTCACTTACAAAATCGTTTTAAACTTAATTGTGATTTGTAATTTCAGGGGCTGTGGTAAAAACCAAGGCACTTATTGCATTAAGGATGGACAAGGACAACCTGTTAAGAAAAAAAACGAAATGCTGCCAAAGAAGCATGGGAGTGAGTTATATTATGCACTCAATTCATATTTTGTGCAATGAAAGTAATGAATGTGCACTTGGGGTCATTGCCTTAACACCAATATATATTGTTGAAATATTCTATGATAACAGGTCAATCATTAAGGAACTGGACCTTGGGCAACATGTGTCTCACAAACAGGCCTCCAAGAAATGGGAGAACCTAAAAAATAATACAAGGTAAATGGTTTATTGTTAATGTAAAACATTTGTTTGTTTTTAAAAAAGCTGAACAAAGATTTCTAACATGCGTTTGTTTGCAATAGGAACTTAAAATGCCAAGGACTGGAGCAGGGACTGATCAGGGGGAAGAAACTTCAGCAACATGGCCCTTCCTCATGGCCATGGATGAGGCCATAGGTGCAAGGTCTTCAATTAGTCCTCCTGTCCTTGTTGCCTCAGCCTTGGCAAACCCCACAATCCTATTTGATTCGGAGGTTGCTTCCTGCTCCTCTTCCCCCCCCCCCCCCAATGTGGCTGATGATCCAGGTCCCTCACCACCCTCATCACCGTCTGAACCACCCTCATCACCGTCTGAAGATTAACCCTGGATATCAGCATTTTAAATAAAGATATGCGTGTGCGCTTCATAGGTATAAGGCATTAAAATATACATGCCATTTACGGCATTAATTGCTCATGTCAAACCATTTGCAGAGTTGCACTCAAAAACAAAAGTGATTGTATTAGAAGACCTGTCTTCATTTTCTGAACCTTTGTTCTGTGCTCCTATAATGTGATTGAATGATCCAAGAGGTAAGGACATTTGTCTCCAATTTGGGATTATGCAGAAAGACAATTGAGGAAAACCAAGTTTGAAATCAACGTTGCACAGGTTTTTTTAATTTCACCTCTTTTCTCTAAAGTGAGAAGTGGAGCTCGCTAACAAACACAAATTAAATCAGGTATGTGTGCACATAATTTAAAAAACCCAAGTTAACAGAGAACCACGTTTTGCCAAAAAAAAACACACAAAAACAAAGTACATTAAATGTAGTCGTGCTCTCTCAGGTGTGGTGCCATTTGGACAGGAGCAGAGAGTTGTGCAGCAATCCTGTCCCTTAGGTGGTGTCTAGGACTTTCCTGTCCACCTGCTGCGGCAGGGGGAGGATTCTGGTCCTGATCTTCAGGGGGGAAGGCTTCAGCATCCTCAAGGACATCATTCATGTTTATGCACAGATTGTGCAGAAATGCACAACATGCAATGATGTCAGGGGCAAAGCTTGGACTGACCTCCAGCGCTTTGAAAAGGGTGGCCCTCCAGCGAGTCTTCATCCTTCCAAATGCTCTTTCCACCACACACCGAGCCCTGGCATGATGCGCGTTGAATCTGGCCTGCACCTGGCCATGAGGGACATTGAGTAATCCTCAAGGAACCAACCAGCTGGGGGAAACAGTGCCTGGCAGAAGATGGGGCTGTTGCGAAGTACTCTGGCATCATGAACGGAGCCTGGATAGCCAATGAAAACATCCAGGAATCTCCCAGTTGAGTCACAGATGGCCTGCATCTGGATGGAAAGAAACAGCTTGTAGTTTATGCAGTCTTTGTGGTACTCGTTTCCTGAAGGTTTGATGCGTATGTGGCATCCATGAATCGCACCAGCAGCACGGTGAAATGCAGGGCTCTTGGCAAGCTGATAGAAGCCGTCTCCAATCTCTGGAAGCTCATATGCGGTTGGCAGGGAAATTAGGGTCTTCAGGTTGGCCTTTATCTTCCCGATGACGTGTCTGGTGATCCTGTGGACCGTCGATTTGGGAATCCCGAATGCTGAACTCACCACAGAGAGCGATAGTCCATGGGCCAAGCTGTAGAGGAGAACAAGCACCTCGATGTCTTGTCCCCATCCGTGGTCCTTTGGGGAGGAAAGCATCTGCACTAAATAAGCCACACTAGAGCGCTTAACTCTAAAGTCCTTCTTTAAACAGGCTTCAGGGTTGGCATACAAGGCGAGAATTGGGGCAGTAGCATTGAGCTGCATGTAAAGACCTTTGCCCCCCTGTAAAAGACAAACACAGGACACAGTATTGTAAAAATACTATATTCCATGATATATTTGTATACACACCCTATATAAACTGTATTTTATATATAAAATACACACACACACATTGTTTACAGATTGTTTATATATATATATATATATATATATACAGCTCTGTAAACAATTCTGAGACCACTGCAGCATTATCTGTTTATCTGGATTTACTATTTTTGAGTCAAATTAACCTTTCCTTTTTTAATCTATAAACTACTAACAACATTTCTCTGTGTTGGAATTCTACAGACACTACTGTATATAGATATACACGTATAGCTTATAAGGAAAGAAAGAATAATGAATGTATATCAAAATATATCAAAATATCTATTTTTATTACACATACAAAGTTAATACTATATAAGAAATAAAGTTAAGAGAATTGTTGTATTAGCAATATTGAAATGTTTACCTGCCACATCGCTAAAATGCGCCTCAACCTTCTGCGCCTTCTGACGGATCTTGCCCTTGCACCCTCTAACAGGCGGCGGATAGCAACGCAGGTCAATGCAGCCGAGGGATGTGGGTTGGACAACAGGGCTGAAGTCGAATAGTCCATTTAGCTTAGGAACCTTCCTAACGGAGTGAAATTACCCGGAAGTCCCTCAGTGGCAGCCATGATAAGTGCCGTTCAAATTCTCTATTTAAATCTGGTTTGCTCCATCAAATTCTGTATTGATTAATGCAGGTTACAGCCTGTAGACATTCATGGATTCATTGCTAACCAGTATAGTATGGATGCATGTATACAATTGTTGAAGACATTTTACTTGTATACTAATCGCTGCATCAGAGAAAAAAAAAAAGAAACCAAAAGGAAAACATCTTGCGTTTGGACCACACCATAAAATAAACCCTGTTTGATTAAAACAAAACTATATTGGAGATGTATTGTCAAATAATATACAGTTGTCATGTAAGTCTAGTGTGTTTCAGTCAATGGCGATGCCCAGGCTCGTTCTAATCCTGATTGGTGCCTGCCAAAAAATGCACATGCACAAAATATCCACCTGATTTCATCTGGAGACTTGGCATTTAGACTTAACATTGTTCATGCTGCAAAACAATTAAAGTGCACCTATCATGCTATTTTTAGGCAATAGCATAGGTCTCAGATATATAAAAATATAAAAAACATGTCTGTGTTTTGCTCCAAATACCAAACAGATCACCCATTCTAGCTATGCCTCATATCCCTCTATTTCACTTCCTGTTTCAAAAGGGCTGATTTTGGGTATAAAGCTTTAAAAAATAAAAATGTATAAAAATAAAAAAGGTGGGGGCTGAGCTCATGCGGGACTCGGCAGCTACTGTCTAAACTGAATACTGCCGTGATGAAACGCCATATCATGGATTATCAAGGATTATTTCTGAATCAGTATGGAGCTCAAATGCTTTCTCTCTTGCCGGTTATACCACAAGGTGAGTTCCTTTTTATTTCCTGCTTCTTCACACACATGCTCAGCACAGGTTAGCTCTGAGTGTTAGCGATGCTAATGTAAACACCGACCATATTACGACCAAAACAGTCGGGCATTATTTCTGATAGCAATTTTCTGATAGTGCCGTGGGTCCACATTTCCGTTATTACGTCATATCGGACGCAAATCTGGATCAGCTCTGTTGTACCCCCGTTTTTAGAGATTTGGGTACGGAGGAAAAGAGAGAGGGTTTTATTTTCTGACGCTGCGTGAGTTCCCCGACACACCGGGGACACATGTTTATGTATAAAAGACATCAAAAAGTGCATTTTGCATGATAGGTCCCCTTTAACCTGTTAAGCCCGAGAGACCCCGGTACCGGGGCACTGCCGCAACATCTTGCAGTAAACAGTGTCTGAGGGCATGTTCATTTAATAAACAAATAATGTTTTATATCCATGTAACGGGAGGAAACTCATCTAACTGATCATTATTATATTTTTTTCAAAAATAAAACCCACAATGCTAACGCTGAGCCTCTGAATTAGCAACGAGCGAAAAATACTAACAGATGACTGCACCGAAATTCACTCACAAAACTTTATTATTTATCTTTTCTGCACATCCATGACATCGTTTCACATCGTGAGGTGACACATAATTGAAGGATACCCTCATTATCACTCAATTATACGAAATCGCGACTTTATAAACAAAAACAGACATCAAAAAATGTGGCGCTAGGTAGCTAAAAATGCTAACATGACTCACCTGTGTCTTTGTCTGGTCAAACGTGGTCTTCAATGGCATTAAAACGATAAAAACGCTGCTGAAGTTAATCCATAGGTTAATCCAATGTGTCTGTGTCCCTTTGAAATGATTTCTGATAATCCATAAGCAATAAACCTCCTTTTCCGTTTCTGGAAGTCAGAGCTAGAGACAGCTTCACTCTCGTGCAAAACTGCGTCCGCGAATCCCCCACCTTTTTGTTTTACCATGTGTGTGAGTGGGGAGATTCCCCTTCGATTCTATTGGTTCTAACGGTCAGAAAGATATGTCAATCACCAAAATCGACCAATGGGTTCCAGAGAAACGGTAAAACCCCCATTTCCACCCAAATCACCTCAGAGGTGGAGTTTTTTTGGCTAAACCTCTCTAAAAAGGTCAAATGTCACTTGTTTTGCATCAATATTGATACAGGGTATATGTTGTACTTTGGATTCCTAAAGTTTTTAGTCTACTTTACCATCATCCAAGGGTACTTTTTTAAGTAAAAAATATTTTTTGGACGGACACTATAATTTACAGTTTTTTACTATGTTCAATCTGAATTTTCTTTAAAATAAAAAAACATCTATATTGATTCTGACTCTTCTACATCCAACTCACAGGTTATCATTACTTTGAGGGAAAATATTATTAATTTAACCCTTTTAGAAGGGAATATATGGTCATTTGTTCTGGGAATGTCATTTTCGAGCCTGAGACCTGAAAAACAGGCTCAGGGCTAAACAGGTTAAGTAACTTTTCTGTCAGAGTAGTCATATAAATTATATAGTATGATGTAAAGGAAATGTTGGGGTATTTCGCAAAAATAAAACGGTGTATTCAAAGATCTAAACAAATAAAAAACCGTCTACTGAAGTGTTTTTGGAATGTTTATACTAATTCCTTTGTAGTGCCAAACATCCCTTTTGCCTTGTTAGCCTGTAGCTGGACTGGAGTTGTGTGTAGGTTAGTTCAGCATAATTGGCTGTGTAACGATCCAATCACACACCTCATACACTCCAGTGACTCCTCCAGGGAGGACGCAGAGCTTCCTTTCTCATAGGATTGTTTTATTAGACAATTTCAAAAGTGATGGGTGTGCTAAGGTCACTTTGAGTTTAAACATTTTCTGTGATATGTTGTTATGCAAATGCAGCTTCTCGGAGAATGCAATCAGCTGTTTATAGTTTCTGGCTCCCCTTGTGGATCACATCACCACCTGATCCACCTCCAGTGGGTTTTTGCTTAACCGTGCTATGCCTGCTTGAGAATACGTTTAAATCCATGGAGGTTGGTGTATTGAATTATTGTTTATTTAACAGACAGGCAATGGTGTGAACACAACCTGAGCAGTGTGTCGGACATGCATCAGAAGAGTACCGTGACGACACTGTGCATCTATGAGAGGCCGTCTAGCTCACAACTCATACTTCGTCTTACAAACAATATCAGAATCTCACATGTACACCACCAGACTCTTTCACACAAATCATCATACCATCTTTAACGTACTGTCATTCCTTCCTTCATTTACTATCATACTATCATACATAAATAACTATTCTCTCTCAAACACAAAAACAACATCTCTTAAACGCACCATCATACTCTCGTACACACACCACTATTGTCTTTCACAAACAACTATAATCTAATAGAACATTATAATAGTGTATGTGAAAGAGGATAGTAGTATGTGTGTAATCGGTAAACAATGTATGTAAAACAGAATAATAACCTTTGTAAGAGGGAATAGTATTTCATGTTAATAACAATAGTCATATATGTAAAACAGAATAGCAGTGAATGAAAGGCCGAATAATAGCTTATATAAGAGGTAATAATAGTTCATGTGAATGACTATAGGTATGTGTATAAAACAGAATGATAGGGTGTGTGCTAGGGGTTTCACAACTACCAATATTTACTAGTCGACACGTTTTTCAAAATAGCAGTCGACTAGTCGACACGTCATAATAAAGACACACAAAGAGAGGTGTACAACTGTATTTTATATCGGAACTCATAGTTACATTAAACACTGCATTTTAATTTGTGTTACATGGCTGAGTAAATAACAAACAGTAACTGGACTTAGTAAATAACAAACAGTAACTGGACTTAGTAAATAACAAACAGTAACTGGACTCACCAAAATCGACAGCAAAAAACTCTGTTTACTGAAATGCCACGTAAATCCAGTGCGCAACACTTTACTCGCTGTCCTCCACGATAACGTCCACCTTTCCAGATTTTTGGTTTGCGTTGAGGAACACCAACGCATCGACATGTGAGGGAAGGAGGCTTGACCGCTTTCGGGTGACAGTGTTGCCTGCCAGGGAAAAAACCCTCTCACTCGGGGTGGCTGGAATAGCCAGGTAGCTCCTCGAAAGCTTGGCTAAACGGGGGACGCGGTGCACGTTTTTTGCCCACCACTCCAGTGGGTTATCCATTGTGGGGATATGCAGTGTCCGCTGGCAGTAAACCCTAGCTCGCATCACTGTAGACCCGTTTTTTCTTGCTGCTCGTCTGCCTCTGTCCTGTGCTGACGCCGGTCCGTTGCTCACTGGTGCTAGCATTACTGCTAGTGCTAGCTGTCGGCAGCGGGTGTCTCATCTTCAGATGGTTGTGCATAAGCAGATGTATTTTTGTTGTACTTTAGTACAGCTGTACACAACTGACACTTCACTGTGGAGTTGGTTACATCTTTGTTGAAGTACTGCCATACATAAGAATGTCGGACGTGTTTTGAAGCATTTTTTTCACGACTAGTTGACTAGGGCCTACAGCGCCGACTAGTGGTAAAGGTAGTCGATTAGTTGGTGAAACCCCTAGTGTGTGCATAAGAATAGTTATGTGTGTGAGAGAGTATGATTGAAAAGGAAGTGAGTTTGATTGAAAAGGAAGTTGGTCTAAATTCTCAGTTCCTGATTGGCTCTACGTTTTTTGTTTGATGGACACCGCCCACAATGGCAGTAGACTACTACTAATTTTCCCTGTGTAACCTGAAGAGTAAAAGGGTCAAGTCCGTCAGAAAGCAATGACTGTAAGTGTAAGCGTAAGCCTAACACTTACACTGACTGTAAGGATTAGTAACATGTATTGTGTTTATGTGATGACATTTGGAGATGTTTAAACTGCGTTAAAATGCGTTAGCATTCGCGCTAGTATACACGCTAGCGTTAGCCATACTAGCCTGTATACATGCTTATTGCACAGCTAGCATTAGCTATATTTACCTTGTTTACACTTAGCGGTCCTAAGTGTTAATCTGTGTATGTTACACTTGCATGTATGAGATCATTAAGTGCCTTGTAACTTATTTTTGTATAGTTTCACTCCGTTTGAATGTCAGTAGACTGCAAATAAGTCAATAAAGGAGCATGGCTGCTCATTCCCTGGCTCTCAAAAGAGTTTGGCTGGCTGTTTAATCTATGTTCACACTGAGACAGTACAACACATAGAGAGAACCAGTGACGTGCGGTGAGGTTCATGGCTGGTGATGAGGCACTGACTCTTTCAGAGTCCGATTTACAAATATTATATTTTGACCTTAATCGAAATATTCGGTTATTTTCAAAAGCTTTTTTAGTCTGATGCTTCAATTCATTTTAAACAGACCGTTGAACAAAAGGATACCCAACATCTAAATATTGGATTGTTCTTTCTTAGTAAGATGCCATTTGCATTACAATTGGGGTCTTACCTTGACTTGAAGATGAAGTCCATGCTATCCTTCTGGACAACAATCTCCATTACATTTTTGTAAAAGTCCTCCTTATCTTCCTCTAGTTTCAAAAGTCTAGTTTGTTGTTTGCTACCGTCTCTGCGTAGAATAACAGTAGCAACAAGAACCTGTGGGCTCACTTGCGCCCCCTTCAGTGCGGCAGAGGTTATGGCTGCCTCCCCTGGTGCTTTTTTCATTGCCGTTGTATGATGAGACCAGCGAGCCTAAATATCATATACGTGAAATAAGTTATTTAGAGACTATGGATGGCGAGGATAAATGTAATAAAGGGATCTACAAACATTACATTGGTGACATACAGTGAGATGGTGCAGGCATGCGCTTAGTGCCCGCTTTCCAGCCAGTTTCTGTGAGGTGACGCATTCTGAGGTGAGGCAGATCTAATCTGTGCCTCACCTCACCACACAGTAAGTGCCCGCGCTACATTAGTGCCCGCGCTCCAGCCAGTTACTGTGGGCTTACGAGAGGCAGAGCTCGTCCCTGCCTCACTTCTCATCGCTACCCGTAGTTTTAGCGGAGCTCGGCAAATTTGCTGATTTTGACTATAAAAAGCGATTGGAATCAAACATAAATCACACTTGCAACACAGATCAGTGGAGACATTTTATTATTATTACTATTTAGTTTTTCTTTAGTTGTTTTTCCGTTACATTGGAGTATGACAGGTGAGGCTCTGCCTCCCCTGACTGCATGTCGCTGGAGAGCACAGTACACCTATAGTGTAAATACATACAAGCAGGTCACACAGTATGATCACAAATAGATATTTTTTGGATTAATTATGATCTATTCTTATGTAACAAGACATGAAACTATTAAGTGTTAATTAAGTCTAAATAACTCAAAATTAGGTACTACTGTCTTATTGGGCCCATATTGAGCAGCGCATATTAAGACCAAAACTCATGTACAACAACTTCCTTACTTGCAATAAATAAGCACTAATTAGAGGGTTATTGAGGAAAAACTCTCAACTAATGGCCTATTACTTGTATAATCTGGTCATGTAGAATAAGTCATTAATAAGTCTTTTATAATGACTAATAAATAGCTAATAAACTGCTAATATGCATGTTAATTATCAACTAGTTGATGGTGAATTTGTGTACCTTAATATAAAGTGTTACCAAAAGTTCTTATTGCAGCTCAAATGTAGCCGTGCTCTGAGCAGCTTCAGGCTTTGTTTTCAAGGCTGTAAACCAGTCAAGGAATGAATATTCAAACTGGCTTCCTGTTGGATCAACCTGACTTCCTTTTAAAGTATGCTCTCTCACAACCAGTACAATGTCCTCCTGTCATAAGCTCTCAAAAACACAAGGGTTGCAGTCGAATAGTCCAACAATCAGCTCCTAACGTCTAACCCTATCGTCTATTCCTTGACCTCTGAGTGAAACGTCACGGGGTTAAGGGATAGTGGATAGGAGAATTCAAAAGGACTTAGGAAAAGAGACTGCGGTACTTTAGAGAATCCAACTGCACTTTCACTATCCGACGTGTTTATGATGCGCCAGCGGACGTCATGAATGTGCGTCTGCTGCTGTGGGGAAACTATGGAAACTACAGTTTTCTATACAGCGGACTACAGCATGGATGTTTAATAATAATATTAACACATGGGACTTTTATAGCGCTTTTCATGAAACTCAAAGACGCTTTGACAGAGAATTAAGAAAAGAATAAAGAAAGACAAGAGAAAACAAAAAAAATAGATAAAGAAATACAAAAAGAGATAAACAAAACAGAAAATAGGGGGGGAGGGGGGTGGTCAGTGGTTGAATGCAGTGTTGAACAGGTGGGTTTTGAGTGATGTTTTGAATGCTGTGAGGGAGGAAGAATCTCTGATGAGAACGAGGGACTCCTGTAAACTCATCTAGAGACTCTGCACCGTGCTCTGATGCTGTTGTTTTATGCTTTATGAACGTGGACAACAGAGAAACATATTCTTCATGACCAAAGTTGGAATTTAAATAAAAAAGGAAAGTGAAACTTATGCTCGTCGTCACCCTCTCCCTTACATTTACTGAGCATTTCAGTAAAAACTAACGTTCATATTTCTCTTTTTGATTATAATACTGATGAACGTTCAAAACAAAGCACTTTGGCAACTTACCACATACGTTTTAAAATGCTTAATAAGCACCGTAACTTTCATGATATTATTTCTCGGTCATAATCGGTTGTTTCCATGAACGGCCGAATGTTGTGTGACGGCAAATGCTGTGGCTGTGGGACAGCATTTTCTCTTAGTTTGAAACCGCCTTTCCTATCATCTAGAGCAGTGGTTCCCAAACTTGTTGTGCCCAAGGCACACCAAAGGACAAGTAAAAATCTCAAGGCACACCTATTGTGCAAAATAGCCCTTATAACACGTGTTATCACTCATATCATGTAAAATATCTGTAAATGTGCATAATTATTTACTAATGCCAAATAAAATGTGACAGACAACTATATTACTCATGAAATATTTATTAACGAAATATTTCAGAAATTAATTTGAAACTTTATCAAATTAGGCTTCATCAAAGCAGCAACACACTCATTTAAACCAGACAGGTCACAACATTAAAAATGAGGCAAAGGAAACTCAGCAGAAATTCAGCACAGAGAACTGTCAATGCAAGGAAGCTGTAGTCCATGGTCCTGAACTACAAATTATAAATGTAACATTTCAGCAATCAGCATTGAAACATGTGCTATTGTAAATATTTTTGCCGATTTACAAATTAGTGAGATACATGTGCCTGTCGGGGCGCACAGCATTTTTTAATCCTTGGTGGCACTGAGGAGAGGGCCACTCGCAAGTCCTGTTCAACAGAGAGCCGTGACCTCCTGTTGTTCTTCATGTAAACCAGAGTAGAGAACGCCAACTCCAGAGATGGGGTCGTTACTAAAAATATGTAATATATTACATATTACTTTTTTAAAAAAGTAATATATTACACTACTTCGTTACTATCTACATAAAGTAACTCGTTACTTTACTCGTCGAACACGTACGAACTGCGCATGCGTGAGTGGCAATAACTTTCCTTACCAGCAGGCGGCGGTAGTGTGTATTTGTCATTCAAAACAGGCAACAAACGGAAGACAGAGAAGAAGAACCGACCACGTGATATAAACAAACAACAAATAGCGTGTGCGGTAGCTTCACCTTAGCATGTGTTCTTTGCAGGTGCTTGTTGAGGTTTGACCATAGGGTTAGACGTGGTGTTTGCAGCAGTGGATAACAGCTTCTGGCCTGGACACAGTTTGCACCTCACCGTCACATTCCTGTCTATTCTTCGGACGAACTCAAAGTAATGGGCATACCTCCACCCCTCGAGAGTTATCGCTGACTCAGCCATGTTTATGCAGCACTGCACGTGGAGATGTGGACGCACAAGTCGCGCAGATTACGTACATATAAACCTACAAAGTACTGATATAGTACATTAAAAAATAATTATTTTTGTGTAGTTGTATATTGCAATAATAACGTATGGTTGTCACAAAATCCCACGGCACACCCGGACTTGCCTCACGGCACACCGTTTGGGAACCACTGATCTAGAGAATTCGAACGGCACTTATCATGGCTGCCACTGAGGTACTTCCGGGTCATTTCACTCCGTTAGGAAGGTTCCTAAGAGAAACTGAGGCCCAATCCCAAACCACTCCCTCGACCCTCCGTGACGGAGTGAACTCCGTCTGTAGGCACACTCACAGCTGAATGAAGTTCCCTCCATTAAGGGTTAAGGGTAAAAATACAGCGGCAAGCTTTGGGACGGCCTCCCCTCTCTCCGCAGGAAACGGAAACGGACGTCATGGTGTCCAACTCACATCTCCATCTGTCGGCTGCATTGACCTGCGTTGCTATCCGTCGCCTGTTAGCGGGTGCAATGGCAAGATCCAACAGAAGGCGCAGAAGGTTGAGGCGCATTTTAGCGATGTGGCAGGTAAACATTTCAATATTTCTAATACAACAATTATCTTCACTTTATTTCTTATATAGTAGTCTATGAACTTTGTATGTGTAATACAAATAGATATTTAGATATATTGTGATATACATTATTTTATTCTTTCCTTATAAGCTATACGTGTATATCTGTATAGTGTATGTAGAATTCCAACACAGAGAAATGTTGTCAGTAGTTTATAGAATAAAAAAGGAAAGGTTAATTTGACTTGGTCTCAGAATTGTTTACAGAGGTGTGTGTGTGTGTGTGTGTGTGTGTGTGTGTGTGTGTGTGTGTGTGTGGTGTGTGTGTGTGTGTGTGTGTGTGTGTGTGTGTGTGTGTGTGTGTGTGTGTGTGTGTGTGTGTGTGTGTGTGTGTGTGTGTGTGTGTGTGTGTGTGTGTGTGTGTGTGTGTGTGTGTGGGAGTATAGTTATTGAACAATACTGTGTCCTGTGTTTGTCTTTTACAGGGGGGCAAAGGTCTTTACATGCAGCTCAATGCCACTGCCCCAATTCTCGCCGTGTATGCCAACCCTGAAGCCTGTCTAAAGAAGGACTTTAGAGTTAAGCGCTCTAGTGTGGTGTATTTAGTGCAGATGCTTTCCTCCCCAAAGGACCACGGATGGGGACAAGACATCGAGGTGCTTGTTCTCCTCTACAGCTTGGCCCATGGACTATCACTCTCTGTGGTGGGTTCAGCATTCAGGATTCCCAAATCGACGGTCCACAGGATCATCAAACACGTCACCGGGAAGATAAAGGCCAACCTGAAGACCCTCATTTCCCTGCCAACCCCAGATGAGCTGCCAGAGATTGCAGATGGCTTCTGTCAGCTTGCAAAGAGTCCTGCATTTCACCGTGCTGCTGGTGCGATTGATGGATGCCATATTCGCATCAAACCTCCAGGAAACGAGTACCACAAGGAGTACATCAATTACAAGCTGTTTCCTTCCATCCAGATGCAGGCCATCTGTGACTCAACTGGGAGATTCCTGGATGTCTTCATCGGCTATCCAGGCTCCGTTCATGATGCCAGAGTACTGCGAAACAGCCCCATCTTCTGCCAGGCACTGTTTCCCCCAGCTGGTTGGTTCCTCCTTGGGGACGGTGGTTATCCCTGCCTGGAAAAACCAGTGGGATTACTCACACCCTACAAGGTCCCTCGCGGCCAGGTGCAGGCCAGATTCAACAGGCATCATGCCAGGGCTCGGTCTGTGGTGGAAAGAGCATTTGGAAGGATGAAGGCTCGCTGGAGGGCCACCCTTTTCAAAGCGCTGGAGGTCAGTCCAAGCTTTGCCCCTGACATCATTGCATGTTGTGCATTTCTGCACAATCTGTGCATAGACATGAACGATGTCCTTGAGGATGCTGAAGCCTTCCCCCCTGAAGATGGGGACCAGAGTCCTCCCCCTGCCGCAGCATTTGGACAGGAAAGTCCTGGACAGCACCTAAGGAACAGGATTGCTGCACAACTCTCTGTTCCTGTCCAAATGGCACCACACCTGAGAGAGCACGATTACATCTAATGAACTTTGTTTTTTTTTGGAAAAACGTGGTTGTCTGTTAACTTGTGTTTTTGAAATGTGCACACATACCTGATTTAATTTAGTTTGTTTTAGTGAGCTCCACTTCTCACTTTAGAGAAAAGAGGTGAAATAAAATAAACCTGTGCACCGTTGATTTCAAACTTGGTTTTCCGGAATTGTCTTTCTGCATAATCCCAAATTGGAGACAAATGTCCTTACCTCTTGGATCATTCAATCACATTATAGGAGCACAGAGCAAAGGTTCAGAAAATGAACACAGGTCTTCTAATACAATCACTTTTGTTTTTGAGTGCAACTCTGCAAATGGTTTGACATGAGCAATTAAGACCGTAAATGTCATGTATATTTTAATGCCTTATACCTATGAAGCGCACAGACATATCTTTATTTAAAATGCTGATATTCAGGGTTAATCTTCAGACTTTGGAAAAAACACTTTAGTTCCGTGCACAACATTACTTTGTGCAAAACTGTTCCTTCTACATTATGAAACCCACACAGAACAATGTAGCCATCTAACAATCAAGCAAACGCAATGTCACCTTCATCACCCGTCTACCTGTATTTACTATATCCCATACAATATTGAAGACATGAAGGACAGTACTGAAGAGGAAACTTCTGTGTAGCTATGCAGTGGGAGTCACCGACTCAGGAAGGAGACACGGGAAGAGCAGTAGCTTTGATGTCAAACACATGATGGTTTATTTGGAGTTAACGGCCGGAGGATTCACATCACAAGTCCAAGAGTCAGAGGTTCTGACTCCACGGTAGAGTTGCCACGTCAATTCTGGAGAGCCTCTCTCTTGCCAGCCCATCTAACTGGTTTTGCAGAGAGTAAACAACATATTTGAGGAGATAGCCTAAACAGTGTGGGAACACAGAGCTACTTGCCTCGGACACTTATGACCTCGAAGATTTTACCTTGGAGTCCACAAATACAGAGAAGGAAGTGTCCCAGTGTACCCACAACACAGACCATCTGTATCCCAGTATTGACCGGTCACAGAATGGGAACAATAACATTATTGGCTAAGCCGCCTGTGTCCTTAAAGAAGGTAAACAGACATCGAGGTTTGTCCTGTATGTTACTAATTGGCGTCTTATGATAATTATTTCCACAACAGTCCTCTCTTTTTATCATTTATGATAACCTAAAAACATTAGTCTAATAATAATTTGGTCAATAATTAACTCAATAGGCGTCTCCAGGTTCGAGTGTGGTCTCACCTTACATCAATTATATCACAAAGTGGAATAAGATTGAAACATTCAATCACAATGATTGATACAGCCAATCATAATAGGAAAAATCATCTCTCATCAGTGTTTGATCATCTTTTGTCAAAAGCATAATAATGAACACACATAAAACACAGGTGCACAATGGCTAAATATTTGTTTTAAACTAATATCTTTTATCATTTACCATTAGTTAATTTAATTCATCAAACTATAAAATCAAAACCAGCTTGCCGCTTTAAAGATTTACTTGAAGGCAATCACTAGTCAAAAGCATTTTAAAACTCAGGATCGTAAGAGATTCAGCTAAAAATGTACAGTTAGAGTATAGAATTCACAATGGTGATTTGATCAATCTGTAATCTGCAAAAGTGCAGTGTCCTCAATTTTAGGATTACTTTTACGTTTACTTAAATACGCTTTAGTCAAGAGTAAGGCACTTAGTGAAATCAATACATTCATTTTAGTCAAGTACATTGTTCAAAATCTGAAAAGGAAAAGTTAGGCAAATATTCAAAGACTTTTGTAAAAACCTGGAAAGGAAGGATTAAACATTTTTAAACCTTGAATTATTACATTTGTAAATGCTACCACTGATCTGTACCAAATTAAGTCTATCAAGTATTCCTATTAGCCATACTTACCTGAGCTACTTATGGTACTTGGAAAGGATTCTTCTGTGTTTATCTAATGTTGAGAATATCAATTTCTTTAAATTATACTTCTCTAATTTGAGGATCAAATATGCTACATAATTGTTATATGAAATATTATAAATATTTGTTTTGGGCCAAAACTGAAATTAATCCAGTACTTGAAACATCTTTCTATGCATGGATAATGTTACATTAAAGAGTAGTGTTGTTAAGCCTGATTGCTGGATTCAAATCCACTAGAGTGCATGTACCTATCCAGAGGGGAGCCAGAACTTGATAGAGCTTGTCGCCGCACAACCAAACGTAATCTTGTGGCGAGCTAAACCCAGCATCACTGGGCCAGGCCAGTTGGAGGGAAATATGGTTAACATCAGAGAATACTACGTTAGAAAGGATTCTTCCAGGGACACTGAATATGCAATACGAGATATTGTAAACACTGTAACTGCACTGTGCGATCTTCCCCATCCCTTAGAGTAATGTTACCAATCCCTGTCTTGACCAGCCCCTCTGCCCATGTGGTTCGCCCTGCTCTCCCCATGTACCTCTTAGATACCTCGATTTCGGCTGACATGCTGTGTGCTGACCATGGATACATAAAATATAGGACTAGTCCTAACACAACTATCATGGCAAATATGCAGAGGAACCATTTTATGATTGTCCAGGCTCTCCGGTAGTATTGCTCACGGTTGCGTTGTCGTTTTCCCAGGCGAGCCGTCATCACGAGGTGGGAATGCTCCATGGGGTGTGTGTGTGTATTCCCTCGGTCGATGTTGTGACACGGACAGTCAGACTCCGCACACCGGTAACACAAACGAGGAACCAGAGAGCATATGGAACCGCTCAGCTGGCACTTGCCTGTGACACCTTGTGTGTAGTGTGTTTTGGTGTATGTAGTGCAAGTGTGGTGCAAGTTGGTGATTAGGACACATCACTTGTTGTCATCTACTTCTGTTGGTGACTAGGACACATCACTTGTTGTCCTCTACTTTTGTTGGTGACTAGGACCTTGCAGTGGCTGGCGTGGACCCACGTAGCTCTCTCTCTGACCCTTGGCCTTCAGAGCTGTCCTACTGTAGTTATTGGGTTAACACTTGATAGGGATGTTTTCCTGAGTGCAGACAACTCAAGGTAATGGATTAGCACATTATCATTTAAATACAAAAATAGGATAGGCCCCTCAGAATTATTTGGGAGCCTTCCTGAGACATGCACATGCATAAATGTAAGGTTTGTGTTAGTCATTTAACATGCAAGAATCATAAACTCATCAGTCCAAAGTAGAGAAATGTTATTGTAATTTAAAGGTGAGCTAGTCCCTGCGGATATCACCCCTTCTCAATGATTCTAAATGTTATATTAATTCACCATTTACCGTTTGATAAAATATTAGTTTATCAGAAATATTTTCCTCTTCCATAAAACAGGTTTGAGAAATAAATGTTCCAATATAAAATCAATTACTCAATATAATTGACTCTTCCCTCCCTTTTCTTACATATGTCACATATGAAATAATAACTTAGGAGTCTATTTAAGCATGGTGTAATCTATTACTCGAGAAGACTCAGTATCACCTGTGTGCAGCTTACAAAAAAACAAACAATTGTGAGAAACATATATTATGCAGAAAATGCATACCTTTGTTGAAAAACAAAGCATATCTGATTTGGGAGGAAAAGCTTCATCCCCCTTAACATCTGAGTCACTACTGAAGGCATAGCATAAATGATAGTGAGTGTCTGAGGGTGTTTTTACTGAGAAATGTCAAACACATTCAAAGCCTTACATTTGAAAACTGGTTTGCATTCCTTCTCTTAAAATGACGTTATCATTGGAAACAATAAAAGCTAATTGTTTTGATGTAGAATCTATCAATTGAATTGTTAGAGCAGAACAGAATGGTCGTATTGTAGCCTGAGTACCGTGCAGCCTTCAGTTTCACCAGGTGGAAACATTGTCCATATAATGGGAATACATGTAGAACTAGACATTTAAGAGGCCCCTGACATTTAGGCCTATTTTAAAAAATAGTAGGGGCTTTTAATAGCTTGCCAACCTACAGGCATCCTCTGCATAGCAGTATGAATAGCCTTAAAAAAACAACCCACTCTGCGGTAACGAGAGTCATATTTCTGAACCAAATGCCCTAAGTTAAGCCGTTAGTCCCATCTGACTGACCCAAGGGTTGGTGCTGGTGTGACCGGGAGGCTTCCAGGTGTTCAAAGCAGATCTCAAGCTTTCAGTTCATGTCTTGGTGGGGGGAGTGGCCCACGTTAGACAGTATTGTTCAGTTTGAGGAGCGGCATTGTCTCTGGAAGCAGGTAATGGTGTCCATTCTCAGACCAGACCATTAATGTCATTTCATGTAGAGCAGCCATAGCATCTCTGTGACTGCACTCAGAACTGTGTCAGAACTGGGTGATTCTTAGTGAAGCCGTCCAAGGCCATAGACAGAATGGAACCACGTACCAACAAAAGGGACACAAGGTCATCAATGTCTCTCTTTACCATTGGCCTAATTGCACAACAAATTAGTGGGAAAAATGTGGAGCACTAATCCATCATCATGTGAAATGTTGAGTTCATCTAAATAATTCCTTATGGGTTGAAATCAAATTAACATTAACATTAGAACTAAAGTCAGTCAAAATTGGACTTTGCACGGGTCAGAATCTAAGCAATACACCATTTCCCCAGCTCTGTAATGAAAAGGATAACAAGATTAGGTACATTACAGGAGTGTTCCACACCCAAACATGCACACTTATCTTATTCTAGTAGAGATTAGAGGACAAGGTCTAATGTTGTGAACAAAATGATCAAGTCAAAGTTATTTTGTTTATTGTTATGTACCTAATTTAATTTAATAATTAATCTTGAATTACTAATAACTTTAAAGAAGGCAACAATTTACAATTTGGATGAAGTGATTACTCATCCAAAGTGTGTGTGTGCTTGTCTGCCCAAGGTTTAAAACATTTGGGACAGCACAGCAGTGAGAATGTTATGAGAACCAATCTGTTGTTTACACTAAACTCGAAGGAAGCTAGACTGGAACATTTTAAATAAATCAAAACACTTGCACATTAATTAAATACATTTCACATTTAGCTCGAGCTGGGTTCAATACTTTTCTTTATGGTATTTAAAATTGGGCTCGAGTAGAACCCCTGGATTTGGCTTGCAACACAAAGTGATACTGATCTCTGTAGGACTTGGGAGTGTTATGATTCAAAGTGCCTGTGAAAGAGAGGCCCTTGGAAAACAACACCTATTTTGTAACTGTAATTACTTATTTTAAAGAAATTGCAACATTATACTTTTAAAGAATTGCTCAATTAATTTAACACATTTATTATGCACACAATAAAAACTTCAACAAATATATTGATCCTGGCTTAACCAGCGACCTTTACTCTGTTGTTCATAAGCTCGGTTTCAGAAAACTTGTCAGTAGTTTAACAACTATTTTAATGTTAGTATTGTCTATAGAGACCAATTGGTTGATACTAGAAATATTTTCAAGCAGTTTAATAAATAATGTTAAACTATTTTTAAAACTGTAATTGAACTTCAACTTATATTAATTACCTGATTCCAGTGGCCAGTTGGAACAGAATAATTAACACAGTTTCCATTTTGCTGCAACAGCGCAAAGGTTTCAACAACAATTAGTATTATGTCTGAGTCTTGTTCTGCTTATCTGCTTTGTTTCGGAATGTGTTCAATACATTACGTTTTTATTCATTATTACTATACAATACATAGATTAAGAATAAATGAAACAAATAATACAACATTGACCTAAAACCAGATTTTGCAACCCTGATCTCCTCAGGCAGGTCTCTGAGGGTCTCGGGGCGCAGGACGGGCATAGGGTTTATACAAGGTCACAAAGATATCTTAACATACCAGCAATACCATCTAAGAATGGATTATTAAAGCAATATAATCTTATTTTCTTCTTACACCTACAGCGCTCACCCTGAACAGTGGGCTTCTTGTTTACATTTTCCCCTGCACTCAGAGGCAGGACATAAAAACACTTTTTATTTTTCTCAGGTCATTTACTTTTGGTGAGATAATTAAAGTTTAGTTCATTTTACCCTGTCTATGGACTGATTAATTATTAGTTACAAAACATACACAAGACGGCGGGACAAACCAATATAGACCCCCATACAAACAATCAGACAAACAAAACATGAACTCCTAATAAACACCAGCGCGACAGCAAAGCTCATTCAGCTCAATTTAGTCCGGATTTTAGAGATCTTAGAGGGGGTGGGGAATTATCTCCAGTGCGGCGTCTTCTCACGCCTCACCCTTGCATACAAGTTATTTATCGGTGCCTGAAAGCCGTCCAAGAACGATAACTAGCTTATCCTCTTGCGACAACCACTAGGCTATTTGTTTCTAGTGGCGCTGTGCCCCCCCGATCGGAGCCCACAGACTTTTTCCCTGCCCTTTCTCTCCAAACAACAGCTCAGTTGACTGTAGTCCGTACGACCAGCCTATATCTACTCGCCATCGAGTTCACCTCAAGGTGAAACACAGTTTGCCTATGCTTGCTTGCCACTACACACCTCTGATCAATTAGCCTATAATTGTATGTATGCACTCCTGACCGCCACCTGCTCCAGAGAGCCGTGGCGCATCGGGTGATGCACGCACTTCGCGCTGGCCCGTCTAACCATGAGAAAAGCGGTCCTAAACAACGAGTGCTTTTAGACCGTCCCGTTTGAAGGACGGCGGTGCCGTGAGTTAAAACCTATAGGCCAGGGGTGGCCAACCCGCGGCTCTCGAGCCGCATGCGGCTCTTTGCCTAGTTTCATGCGGCTCTTCAGTTCATATCGAATTTTATATGTGTGAGTTTGGGGGAGAGACACTGACTCCTGACTAGTGTTGCACGGTGTACCGATACTTGAAAGGTACCGCGACACCCTGCCGTTAAAAACGTTACGATTCCTCCGTTTCATTAGTATCGGTACTTTAAGAATGACGGGGGAAAGTACTCCGGTGAGAAAGCGCCGTTTTAATAAGAGCCGTGTGTGTTCAGCGCTCTGCTTCCACTCCCTGCACTGCAGCCGTGCCTGCAGTCCCGCCCCTCTCAAGCACGTTCTAAGTCCCTCCCCTCTCAAGCACGCTCTAAGTGCCTCCCCTCTCTCGTGCACGCGCTAGCTGCCAGAGCATGTGAGAAAACGAGAAGCATGGCTGCAAGTGGGAGTGCAACTGCCGCTGCGCCTCGGCTTGTTGACAAAAAAGACGCCAGAAGCGAAATTTGGAAGTATTTTAGCTATATCTCTGACAGTGAGGGCAAGCCTACGGACGCCTGTCTGTAAGACATTTATTAATTTTATTTAATACGAATTCTTGTCATTTATTTTATTTATTGTTCTCATTGTTTAAAAGTTTGTGTTATGGTTATGGTTCTGGTGTGAAATAAAGCACAATAATTACATTTAAGACCGTTTCCCTTTTTTTAAGAAAAGTATCGAAAAAGAATCGGAATCGCAATTCTTGACTTGGTATCGAAACCAAAATGTTGGTATCGTGACAACACTAGCTACTCCTGACAGTTAAACCTGATATTTAGTAGGTCTGTTAAGTATTGAATGCTGATAATTCTGACGTAATTTGGCCGGTCAAAGTTGTTTGGGCTCGGATAAAATCGCTCCGTTACTTTCGTCCCGTGTTATGTATGTTGTGTATGTGTGGTGTCAGTATGAGAGGATGACAGCGCGTATAATTTTGATGTGGCCCAAGAGCCAATCACAATAATACCTGCGATGCAGTGAACCAATCACCTTTGAGGGGGGGAAAACCTATCGTTGATTAAACACTATCCAGTGTTTCCCCTACCATTGTCTTGGAGGGGCGCTGCGCCCCGCCAACGGAGCCCCGCGCCCCCCCCTGAAATTCAAGGTGTTTAAAAAAAATATATATATAATTTTATTTTTAAATATATATATAGCACCAAATTGCAAATAATCTATAACTACTGTCACTTTTCACATTGAACATGTGCTCTTTTATTAAATAAACTAAACGCTTTCATTTTAAGTTGTGAGTTTAGTGTTTTTGACCCTAAGAAACACTGATGCATTAATCAATAATCCACAGCTCCTCTCTCTGCTCCAGAGGATTTAAAAAATATATATCCCAATGCCACAAAAATGCATCAGTGACGTGGTTGAAATCTTGTCTCCAGAAAACAAAAAACGGAAACAAGCGGTATCAGTGACTGTGTTTGATGTGGCTCTTTGCAGTAACATAGAAAAAATGTGGCTCTTAACCTCTGACTGGTTGGCCACCCCTGCTATAGGCAATAAGCTGTGACTTTCTTCCTCTCAGCCTGCACTGCTCCAGCCCCACACACACACGGTGAGGTTTCTTTTACACACACACACACAAGCCTGCAGCTGGAGCCGTGTTTTTACAGAGAGGTGATAGCAGCAAATATCTTTGGCTGCTTATTTTCAACTGCTGTGCTTAGCCACTAAGACCCTCAAAATCCGGCGATTTGTCCAATACAAATCTTTTACATTGCTTTCAATTCACACAGAAGCTCCACTTCACTGATGCCCTTTCTTTAAGGTATCTCTAAACATGAGCTGTGTATGCCTGTATGGCACTTCCGTCCCGAGCAGCACACACAGAGGAAATAAGCCAGGACTGAGTCCCCAGACACTGATCTCCTGGGTTTATCATCCCCAAATGTTCATTAACCAAAAGGAAACGCAGCCGATCAGTTTCACAGGTAATTTTAGGATACCGTCAATCACAGATTCTGATAAGGCAATGTCCAAAGTAGATTTGAAAATCACACTTACCACAATCTGAAGATCTGTTGGCATCCTGCCGACAACGCCAATTTGTAGAGGAAACTTCTGTGTAGCTATGCAGTGGGAGTCACCGACTCAGGAAGGAGACACGGGAAGAGCAGTAGCTTTGATGTCAAACACATGATGGTTTATTTGGAGTTAACGGCCGGAGGATTCACATCACAAGTCCAAGAGTCAGAGGTTCTGACTCCACGGTAGAGTTGCCACGTCAATTCTGGAGAGCCTCTCTCTTGCCAGCCCATCTAACTGGTTTTGCAGAGAGTAAACAACATATTTGAGGAGATAGCCTAAACAGTGTGGGAACACAGAGCTACTTGCCTCGGACACTTATGACCTCGAAGATTTTACCTTGGAGTCCACAAATACAGAGAAGGAAGTGTCCCAGTGTACCCACAACACAGACCATCTGTATCCCAGTATTGACCGGTCACAGAATGGGAACAATAACATTATTGGCTAAGCCGCCTGTGTCCTTAAAGAAGGTAAACAGACATCGAGGTTTGTCCTGTATGTTACTAATTGGCGTCTTATGATAATTATTTCCACAACAAGTACGTTAAATTAGGTTTATTGTCTTCCAAATAAATAATACAAGCGAACAAAAACAAGTATTTTAAGTAACATCAATAATCAAACATAGAAATGGCCAATGGTGGGGGGGAAAAAATAAATCACATTTTGTCGACCATTTTTTCGAACAGGGTTAGAAATGTATCTGAGTGCTGCATTCGTCCTCTTTTTCTGCCTCGCGTTCTAGGCACTCCAGCACTCCCATAGCACCTTTTCTTTTGGGGGGGGGGGGGGGCTGCTGGGTGGTTCCAGCCTCAGACAGTGATGAGGGTGGTGAGGGTGGTGAGGGGTCTGGATCATCAGCCACATTTGGGGGGGGGGAAGGAAGAGGAGCAGGAAGCAACCTCCGGATCAAAGAGGATTGTGGGGTTTGCCAAGGCTGAGGCAACAAGGACAGGAGGACTAATTGAAGGCCTTGCACCTATGGCCATGAAGAAGGGCCATGTTGCAGGGGTTTCTTCCCCCTGATCAGTCCCTCTTCCAGTCCTTGGCCTTTTAAGTTCCTATTGCAAACAAATGCATGTTAGAAATCTTTGTTCAGCTTTTTCAAAAACAAACATGTTTTACAATAACAATACACCATTTACCTTGTATTTCTTTTTTAGGTTCTCCCATTTCTTGGAGGCCTGTTTGTGAGACACATGTTGCCCAAGGTCCAGTTCCTTAATGATTGACCTGTTATCATAGAATATTTAAACAATATATATTGGTGTTAAGGCAATGACCCACAGTGCACATTCATTACTTTCATTGCACAAAATATGAATTGAGTGCATAACTCACTCCCATGCTTCTTTGGCAGCATTGCGTTTTTTGCAGAACAGGTCATCCTTTTCCATTCTTAAAGCAATAAGTGCCTTGGTTTTTACCACAGTCCCTGAAATTACAAATCACACTTAAGTTTAAACCGATTTCGTAAGTGAATGGATGTGAGATGAATTGACACATGTGTTGTTAGTTTGATTCCGATTTAGATTTGTACATCTTCAAAATAAAAATCTAATGTAATCTTGGCAAATCAAATTAACACGTGTAGATTTATAAATACATGTTCACAAAGGCATGTTTTAGTTAAGGCAACGTATTATTTATCGTTTAAAAAAATAACCACATGGAACTCACATTTGTATGACGTTGTTTCCTCCATGCCCGAAAAACGGTTGCACACCTGTGGAGTGAGATTATCAAGCCTGCATCCATGGAAACTCGCTGTCGGAGACTTTTATAACCCACTACGCCTCCGCCCTGATTGCTTTGGACCAGCCCTCAATATGGCGGACCCTTCGCGTGAACGCGCAAACGGAGGGGTAGGGTGTAGGGATAGGGTGTAGGGGGCGGTTTGGGAATGGGCCGGACTATTCGACCGCAACCCTGCATTGTCTTTCACATACACTATCATTCTCTCACACACACACTACTATACCCTCATACATACTACAATTCCTCTCTCACATACACTATCATTATTTCTCACACACAAAGTTTTCCATCTTGCATACACTACTAGAGTATAATATTGTAGTATGATGTGGTATGTAAGTGGTAATAATAGTGTTTCTAAGAAAGTACAGTTTGGTATGTAAGTCAGTTTGATTTATGGCCCAGACAAAAGTGTGTGAAAGAGAGTATGATTGTGCGTGTAAAAGTGTTTAGCAATATGTATAAAATAGTTTAATGGTGTATGTGTGAGATTCTGATATTGTTTGTAAGACCAAGTATGAGTTGTGAGCTAGACGGCCTCTCATACCAATCAGTGTAGCTTTCATAAACACCAAACGTGAAGCAGATGTAGATTATATACCTTCAAAGAAACAAACAACAACAGTATGTAACACAATATCTATTTAGTTGTTTACTGCTTCCATAATCTAGTTATCCAAAAGCAATCTAATTACTATCTAATTCCGAAATTGCTCTACTTTTTATCATAATTGAAATTCCAGAAAATATGGAAACTTTTCCACAGATGGGTGTAAAGAAAATAATCAACTTGTCTCACGTTTCTTACAAGGAGTGCAGCCCTATTAACATTTTAATATACATACTGACTGTGTGTGTGTGTGTGTGTGTGTGTGTGTGTGTGTGTGTGTGTGTGTGTGTGTGTGTGTGTGTGTTGTGTGTGTGTGTGTGTGTGTGTGTGTGTGTGTGTGTGGTGTGTGTGTGTGTGTGTGTGTGTGTGTGTGTGTGTGTGTGTGTGTGTGTGTGTGTGCAGAGTTACATAATTTTCATATATTTGTGAAGTATTGTACAGTATGTGTGTGTGGTGATAGGAAATGGAGGAGAGCAGGTGTCAGCAATCTCTCCATGCGCCCCTACTTATCCCCTATTCACCCGGGCCGTTTCTATGGCAACGAATGAATGGATTGCCACATGGATGATTGGTGCCAATCCACCAGTCATTGGCCTCATAATGGACACCCACTCAGGGAAATAATAGTAAATTAAGACTGAGCAAAGCCCTGTATGTATGGCATATATCACTGAGGGATTTAAAAGTTCTTGGTCTTGAGTTTTCACCACTTTGTAAACTTAAACTCATTTAATTCATGTTCATTCATGTTCTTTAGACAAATAAATGTAAAAGTGTTCGAATTACAAGAGTTTACCTTGAGTCATTATCATCATATATTCATTCTCATAATAGACAATGTGGGAATGTGAAATTCCTATGAAATGTGCATAAACAACTTGAATAATTAAAATGTTTAACATGGAGAAGTAGAACATTTGGAGAATTAAAAACAAGTTACCTTGTAAAACCCTTGTTCTGCATTTCTTACATTGCAAAAGACTGCTTACATTGATTTGTTTAATGAATCCTAAAAAATCCCTATACTTGAAAATGTTTTAAAATATATCAATTTTTACACAAATTAAATAAATTAGTCATTGAAACACATCAGAGTAGACATTTTAAAATGACAGTATCAGGATACTGCTTGTGAAAAGCTTTCAGCACCATAGTGAAGTGGACAGCTCCACCACAGGATTACTATGGTTTACCATTATGCCACGATAATAAAAAAATACTTAGATTACAGTATTAAACACGTAGAAATCACCTTCAAATGAATAACAAAAAAACAGCTGAGTTAATGTGAAAAGTTGAGCAGCATGAAATTGCAAATGCTTAATATCTTAAAAGACCTAAGAAAGGGGCAAGGGCTATGAAAGAACAAAATCATTCATGTAAATTGAGATGAGAGTGTCTGCAGACTGAACATATTCACCTGTCTCCTCTGCCTGTTTCTTTATTTGGGGTGTACTTTTCCCGTGTCCTTACTTCTGCACTGATGAACTAGTTTTTCAGACACTCTGTGATGAGTGCTTTGCTGATCAATAAAGTGATTGTCGGCACTCGGCAGTGCTGAGTGTCTGACTTGCTGACAGGTACAGTACATTCAGGTCTGATAGAGGTTGCAGGCTTATGGCTTTGGGCAGAAAAGGCTTCACTGTATTAGAAAATAAACTGTTATAGATGTTAAATAATAACTTGGAACCAGTCTATGCTTGGAACCCTTCGTGCACTTGATTTCAGGCATGCAGTATGTCTAGTGTTTGACTTAGTTGCTAGACTTTCTAGAGCTGTTATGTCAGGGTCTATTCATATTAATGTGCAGATTTGTAATGTAATCGTTTAACTCCATGGAACAAAACTGAAAAATACCGTTAAATCCACTGCTGTGAGTTAGTATATCACACTTACATGCATAAACCTTCATAATATAGTCAGAGAAGCCCATTGATATGGTAACAACATATTTTGATAATTCAACGTTGAGTGAAGGCGTCCAGGTAACCTATAAGATGTTGCAATTGTTCTAATGTGAGTGAGATGAAGGTTTCTTTTGTGAAGTGATATTGGGGTTTTATGTTTCTCTTTGGAGGAAGAGTATGTTGTCTTAGGGGAGCATGAGAGGACACAGAGTACAGGCTTGTATTTAGGACAGTGAATTGTAGTGGTCTACACAGCTTTGCAGAAGACAATCACTGTCCTTAGTGTCACAGCTTGTCTCTGTCAGCATATGTGACAATTAGAGTAGACAGATACATGACTGATGACCATTTGACGATGTATATTAAGACAGAAACATACAATCTCCAACATCCATCAGCAGATCAATCCCCCTAAGAAAGAAAGACACTAACTTAAGAGGGGAAAAACGTTTATGGTTGCGTAAAAACATGCCTTTGTGCCCACTGTGCTCTCAGTATAATACATATAATACATCAGTGACCAAAATGGGTGGTGTTAAACACTATTGATCGTTACAACATGTTCAGTGTTCATTGTGTTTTCAAAGGTCAATGGCTGTGGCTTGCTGTGTTATGGAGTAGGCTAGCATTTTGTCAAGCAACATACAGTATGAGTACACACAAGGAGAGAAATGTACGGAAGAGGATTAGGGCCACATAAAAAAATTTTTTGTGAGGATTTGAAAAAAATATGTTTCTTTTTTGTTCTGAGAAAAAAGTCAGAATTCTGACTTTAATCTCAGAATTCTGACTTTTTTCTCCCAAAAAAAATATTTGTTGTATGTATGTGGCCCTAATCCTCTTCCGTAGAAATGTACCATTGATCCAAAACACCTGGAACATATTTTCATTAAATAATACGTGATTTGGGAATTAATTTAATTAGATTATGCTCATACTGAAAGCAGTGTCAAAGTCTACATAAAGAAAATTAAGCGTGGACATTTTTCAATCCATAACCATTAAATAAAATCATTTTGAAGTAGTTGTAGCTGTGTACTTGAATTTTAAATTTGGTCTACTGTACTTTCGTTGAGATTGGGCTACAATAAAGGCACATGCAGTGTAATGGATTTTATTTTTCTATTTACATGTTGCATGTGGAAGTTGACTCAATATGAAGGAACAGGGAGAGGAAAATACATGCAAAAGAAAAAGCTAGCAGTTGGATTTTGAGTAGATTTGAATCTTATCAGTGATTTAACAACTCTGGGTCTGTGATCAAAGATGATCATGTATAATAGCCTAGTGGCATAGAGAGATCACACACAGATAAAAGATAATTGGTGTGAAGCTCATTTGTTTGAACATCGTCTGACCTATTTCAGATTTAAGTTTTTTAAATACGAATGCATTAAAAATCCATTTAATACTCTCAGAGCCCGAGCGAGCCACAAGACATATTCTTTCTTACATATTTTCTTGGATTTATTCATTTAAATTGGACATTTAAATTAAATGAAAATGTTAACAAAAAGAACTCCAGTTTTATTATCCGTCTACTTAATTATATTTTGATTACTTTGAGATTATTTTTAAATTACACTGACTCTCATAAACTATGCCATTGGCACTTTTTTTTTGCCTGTGGCACATTTTATATTAAAGTGTACATATTTTCTCACTGTGAAATATATATAGAATCAGAATCGTTTTTATTAGCAAGTAGGGTTACACATAAGAGGAATTTCCTTTGGTATATGTGGTGCATATAAAGACATAGATAGAAGAATATATTATATATAAGCAAAGATGGATGAATATCGATAGAGAAAACATGAAAACACATTAAATAAAACACATACAACTGCTGCTTGGTGCCGCATGAAGCCTGTGTGAACAGTCCCAAAAGACAATCACAAGATCTTTGTAAACACCGGTGAAATCCCTTCCCCTCTGCCACTGTATCTTTTGGCTGTCTTGGCAAAAAGACAAGGAGTCAGTTCTTCTAATTCTCATTTAACACGAGGAGCAGATGTGTGCTGACATGACTCTCTGAGAGGTTGTCTGTTTGGCTAACTTAGTGATGTAGACCAACAATGACAAGTGAAAAAGTTACCAGCGGGTGTTTGTGGCTGAACCACCTGCTGGAGCGGGACACACACATGGGCGCCGGGCTAACCTTGCCTGGAGAACCTACAGGCTCATAAGGGGCAGAGACAAGAGTAATGTGTTGTGACATATTTCATCACTGAGCCCTCTAATTAATGTAAGACTAAGCAAGTTAACCTGTTTAAGCCCATTTTAAATCAATAGCAATTCGGACAGGAGTACTCTGGGACCTCAATATAACATTTGCTATTCTTTTGGGGATTAATCCAGAGCTGTTATTTAATAAGAGTCTAACACACCGTATCATAAAATGTGTGTAAGTATATAGTGCCCCTCAAATAAACCCACTGAAATGTAACGTCTATGTAAAGAATGCTTCTTCTCTGCTG